GGTGTATACATAGTATATTCACACCAGTTCGTGTCTTCATACATGTACTTTGGATAGTAATGGTCATCACATTCCACCATCATTAATTACCCCATGCCCACTCCTTTCCCCACCAACCCCTCTGTCCTACCTAGAGTTCGTCTATTCCTTCCATACTCCTGCTCCCTATCCCACTATGAATCAGCCTCCTTATATCAAAGAAAACATTCAACATTTGTTTTTTTTGGGATTGGCTAACTTCACTTAGCATTATCTTCTCTAACTCCATCCTTTTACCTGCAAATGCCATGATTTTATTCTCTTTTATTGCTGAGTAATATTCCATTGTGTATATATGCCACATTTTTTTTGTCCACTCAACTATTGAAGGACATCTAGGTTGGTTCCACAGTTTAGCTATTGTGAATTGTGCTGTTATAAACATTGATGTGGCTGTGTCCCTGTAGTATGCTGTTTTTAAGTCCTTTGGGTATAGACCGACAATGCAGGATTTAGCAGAACAGTGACAAGTGTAATTTACATTTTCTCTATAGGTTGCTGCATGGACAACAGAGTGTAGGGGACTAAGAATGAAGGCAGGGTGACCTGTCAGGAGTATATTGCTGTAGTTTAGGAGAGAGAAAGGTGGCCTGATCTATATTGATGACAGTGGAGGTAGTAAGAAATGACAAATCTGATTTGTATTTTGGTGGTGTATCATGGTCTTGTGGCCAGAAATGAGGTGGAACTGACAGGATTGCAAGAAGTCCACAACACAGTGAGTTGGCAGAACCAAGATTCAGATTTGTTTGATTCTAAAGCCCTACTTACAAAAAGTCCCCTAGGCTGATGCAATGCTAAGCAAACACTAAGCATCAAAGCAGAATGGGAAGGACCGTACGCAGCACCTCAAGTGTTTCTCGAGCACCAACACACTTGTTCTAAGGTCTTGTGGCATATGACCCAAAACTCTAGACTGGATGGATAGAAGGTGCAAATTCAAATTTTGCATGTGCTACGGATTGTTCCTCCATGTGGATTCCATGACTTCTAAAGGCCCTTTCAGCTTTAGTGCTCTCTGTTGCACCATTCAGCACCTGGAGGGATAGCCACTGTGTACAGTGCCACTCATTGATACAGAGAGATAAGAATGATAAGCATAGAATTGTTACAAGAGTAGGTAAGAGGTGGCAGCACTACAGGTTATGTTTTTGGTTTCAATACTATTCAATTTAGTTTGATTTTATCATATTACTTTTTCAATTTAGCGAAAGCATTTGGTTTTAGCATTTTACTTTAAAGAAAAAGAGAAAGCAATTCTATGTATTGTGCCACTCCAACTTACAGGATATAATAAAATTTTATGCCTCATTCATCCAAATATCCAAGTGTTAATCATCTCAAAAAAGTATTTTGTGTCTATTGAGTATAAAGTACATTTAATGAGGTTTATTGAGCAAATCTGGATGGAGGAAGACCCTGGTGAAAAGTTTAAAAAAAAAAAAAGAACTTTTTTTTTAGAGTTTACAATTTAGCCTTTTTGGATTTTATAACAATCTTGCAAGGTATTATTGTCCTCCCTTTTGTTCACATTACAAAATAAAAATTGGAGCAGTTAAATCACTTGCATAAGGTGGCTCATTTGGTAAAGCAGAAAGCTCAGTATTCAAATCTGGGTCTGCTGCACTTTCTGTCTCACTACCTGGGATTCCATGACAGCAATCATGGTCTAGGTGGCTCCCAGGACAGGGTACGTCCTATATTAACTACTCTGAAAGGGTGAACAGTGATCTAGAATAGGGGTCAGGAAATTTTCCATAAAGGACTGGATAGTACAGTATACTTATTGGCTCTGTGGGTTGTTAGGTTGTTGTTAAGAGCGAGACTCAACTCTGCCCTTGCAGCCCATCAGTCATAGACAATACATAAAGGAACAAGCAGGGCTGTTCTACAAAAGGATTTTACTTATGGATAGCGGAATTTGAATTTCATGTAATTTTTCACAACTTTATCACACAATATTATTCTTCTCTTGATTTTTTTCTCCCAATTACCAGAAAATATAAAAGGCATTTTTACCTTGATGGCTGTTCAAAAACAGGTGGCAGGCTGGATTTAGCCTTTGGGCTGTAGTATGCCAACCTCTGATCTAATGTCAAGACTAGTGCTGTTAAATAACACTTTCTGGGATGATGGAAATGGTCTAATCTGCATTGTCCTATGTAGTAGTGGCTAACTACATGCAGATATTGAGCACTCAAAATATGACCAGTGTGACCAAGGAACTAAAATTTTGTTATAATTTTTTTTTTCTAAGACAGGGTCTAACTATGTTACTCAAGTTGTTCTTGAACTTTTTTTTTTTTTAAGTATTTTTTAGTTGTTGATAGACCTTTATTTTATTCATTTACTTATACGTGGTGCTGAGAATCGAACCCAGTGCCTCATACATATCAGGCAAGCGCTCCACCACTGAGCCACAATCCCAGCCCTGTTCTTGAACTTCTGGGCTTAACTTATCTTCCTCCCTCAGCCTTCCCAGTAGCTGGGACTACAGAGGCATACCACTGTGTCTGATTTGGGACTAAATTTTAACTCAGCCCTCCTTTCCATTCCTGTTGCCCTTATCATTTCTTTAAGAGTTAATGCAGTTTCTCAACTAGTCTCCCTGTCTCCTATTTTACTTTCTTTCCAATCCATCCTGCACAAAGCTAAAGAGATTTTCCTAAAATCAATTAGGATCCTAGCTCTTTTCCAAGGTACTATTACTCCAAAGTAACAATTCATATGAACTTTTGAAAGTTCAACCTGTCATCATGCCACATCCACATTTTCCTTAAGAAAGGAAACAAAGAGGTTGAATACTTTCCTCTTGTTTGATCAGATAAGTCATAGTTAAGTTTCTTGAAAGTTGTCCATCACACTTGTTCTCCTCTGTTTCATAGTGGCTTGCTGAATAATGTAGTGAAGGAAATTTGGCTTTGTAGATGGAGAGCTATTTAAGCTTAGGAACCATTTCTGGTATATGTTAGCAGTCAGGAAAGGCACCTAATTACCTTGAGCCTCACTTGAAATTAATGTGACTTCAGTGCTAAATGAGAATGATGATAATTATATTACAGAGTTGTTGTGAAGATCAACAAATGAGTTAGGTGGAAATCTTTTGCAGTGAGTAAGAAGCTATACAAATGTTAGTTGTTGTAATAAACAGAGTCTTTAAATGGTTCTAAAAATCAATAATGATCTAATTTTACCTAATGTATTTTCTCATTTTGAAAGCCAATCTGCATGAGGCCACAAAAGGATATAGGTTTTCAGTATCCAAAGGAAAGGGGGATGAAAAAGAATTTTGGCCTATTCAAATACCCTTGGGTTGTGTATTAGTCTTAGGTCTACGATGGTGCTTTCTTGCACTTCTGTTTTTCTAAATAATAATTTCAGCAATAAATATTAATAGACAGTTGATTCTAGAGAGAAGAATGACAATGACATCATATCAAATCAGAAAGAAAAAGTAGTAATAGTTTTAAGCATCTAAGGGGCTTTTCAAAGTATCTTTCTCAGTGAGTTCTAGTAGGAAGTGAACTGCTATCAGTCAGGAAGAAGATAAAAAAAAAACAAAACAAATGATGTTATCAAATAAGAAAAGGGACAGCTTAAGTTCACATAAGTATTTTTTTCCCTTCCTTAAGCACATCCCAGAACACAGGATTTCTAAGGATAAGTATACTTTTCATTGGAGCACATTACACTTTTAAGATGAATTTACACCAATACCTCATTCTTAGTTCTTGAAATGAGCATGACTCCGCTGTCTTACCAATACAAGAGACATCCTTGCCAGGCACAGTTGCATAGACCTATACTTTCTAGCTACTCTAGAGGCTGACTCAGGAGGATGTAAGTTCCAGGCCAGCCTGGGCAACTTTGGGAGGTGGGTCTCAAAAACAACAACATAAAAAAAGGGCTGGGGATGTGGCTCAAGTGGTAGCAAACTCGCCTGGCATGCATGCGGCCCAGGTTTGATCCTCAGCACCACATACAAACAAAGATGTTGTGTCCACCGAAAACTAAAAAAAAAGAAAATAAAAATAAATATTAAAATTCTCTCTCTCAAGAAGAAGAAAAAAAAAAAAAAAAAAAGGACTGGGGATTTAGCTTAGTGATGGCGAGTCCCTGGGTTCAATATCCAGTACAGCCAAACAAAACAAACAAAACCAAAAAATCTATTGTTTATGATCGATATTCTTTTTTCTACAAAGAGTAGTAAAGATTTTTTTTTTTTTTTGTTCTTTGAATTTAAGGTTTCCAAAGAGATTGATGGGTCTGTTCCAAAGCACTAATGTCTATAAAAATCACTCACTCTCCAGATTGACTTATTTCCGGGAACACATCTTTACTATTTTATAGTTATAGTTAATATTTTACTCATCTTTGTATGTTTGTCTCACCCCGCCTCAGAGGAGTTGGCATATAGTAAAATGTACTAGCAAACTGGCGGCCTTTCTTGTTTGTGTCCCATGCTATTCAAGTCTGCACTCAAGCGCTCACTAAGCCCACTAAGCGCTCACTTAAACTCTCGTGGAAGAATTTATTTCTTAACCACCCAATTACCAGCATCTAAACATCACCTTTGAACCCGGTAGAGTGACCGCTGGGTAGGACCACCAAACTCAAGCGCGTCCCAGGCTAACAAGCCCCATGGTAGCAGCACCGAATTTCCTTTCTCTCTGAGACCTCAGCATCTTCGTGGGTATTTTATTTCGAGACCCTCTTTGCGTATTTGTGTAGATATTCTTCACATATTTAACTTAACAGTCTACGCAGAACTTACACCTTTCTAAGAGGAAGATCCCGGGCAAGAGAAAGTAAAAGCTTGCAAATGAGATAGTGGAAAATAAGGTGGAGAAACCTGGTCAATTCAGAGACAGCAGGCGCTGACGTGGGCGGGGTATTGGCAGCTGAGGACCCCACATGACCATAGGGGCCGACCCCGCCTCTCTGTCCGCCGCTGGGGGGCGCATGCGCAGCCCGTGCTAGTGATGGAGGAGAGAAGATGGCGGAAGCGGAGTGAGTGACTTGCTGGTGACTGATGTCGTAACCGGGGGCGAGTGGGGGCAGCGACACGTTCCTCAGTAAAAGAGCTCAGGGCTCTTTCGCTAGCAGTGCATGGAAGGGAAACCTGAGAACTACATTTTTCTGCTGGTGCCTGCTTGGCCCTAGTCGGGGGGCGGAGGCGAACTGAAGGGTCCAGTTGCCCTGCAGGCGGGAGCGCCCCTTCTGCCGTCTGGACCGGGTCGGCCGAGCCCTGAGCGCACGGTCACCCCTGAGGCCCTGTCCGCTAGGGTTCTCCAGGAAACAGATTCCTGTGGGCCCCTCAGGCGCTGTCACCCCTTCAAGTGGGCCCTGCGGGCTGCGTACGCCAGGGGCCCGCGGAGGCTGGGTAGGGCAGGGCGGGCACTGCCAGGCCTCCTTCGTGCTACCATCCTTCCGCTCCGGCGCCTCCCCGCTCTCAGCCAGAGAACGAGAGACCCAGCTGCCCACTGCCCTCCCGCGGTGGGGTAGGGCGAGGGCTAAGTGTCTTGGCGCGGGCCTGAGGGCGGCGGAGGTTGCTGCGCTCTGTTGAGGCTGAAAACACCCCGGAAGGAAAGACCTTTCCCTCGGGTCTCTGGCTGCAGGGTTGCTGTCTCCCTAGAGGGCCACATTCTTGTGTGGCAGTGTGATGGTATGCTTAGTTAGCGACTCTAAAACTTAAATATTTCTCGGGTAGGCCTCTTGTATACCAGAACTGCAGTCTGTATTTTGCAGGTATTTATATGCACAGACGGTGGAGTTACCAAAACTGTTCTTTTGTGCCAGGCCTCGAAATGCAATACCATGGTTTGGCCTGTTGCCCTCACCGATGCCTAGAATTTGTATTCTCTGTGACCATTTTCGGTTAGTAGTTAGAACTGTGCCTGGGTTTGAGGATATGGTTGAGCAGAACAACTTTAAAAGTACCAGACTTTAAGCTGGCATTTTGCATATCACTTGGTGCATGGCACACACGTGTTATGATAGGCAGTAATTTGGTAAAAAGTTTTCCTTGTCTACTACTGATTCTGTATAATATTGAACCATATGATACTGTGATTTGATAATTGGAAGGCAATTTGAAAAATAGCAAAGAAGTGTAAAAACATGATTCACTTCCTTTTTCCGTTTTCTTTTTGGTACTGCGGATTGAACCCAGAGGTGCTTTACCATCGAGTTACATACCTATCCCTTTTCATTTTTAAAATTTTAGTTGTAGTTGGACACAATACCTTTATTTTATTTATTTATTTTTATGTGGCGCTGAGGATCGAACCCAGGGCCTCGCACATGCTAGGCAGAGTACTAGGCGAGCCCTCTGCCGCTGAGCCACAACCCTGTCCCTCCCTTTTCATTTTTTGTTTTGGGACAGGATTTGGCTGAGTTGCTGAGGCTGGCCTTGAACTTATTATCCTCCTGCCTCAGTGTCTCCAATCATCATTTTCTAATAAAAAAGAGTAACTGAGGAATCAACTACTTCCTTTATTCTTTCACTTTTTCTCTTTTTTTAAAATCTTTTTTTAAATATTTATTTTCTAGGTATAGGTGAACACAGTGTCTTTATTTTACTTTATGTGGTGCTGAGGATCGAACCCAGTGCCTCATTCATTCTAGGCGACTGCTTCACCTCTGAGCCACAATCCCAGCCCCTCACTTTTTCTCTTAAAAGGAGATTGGTTCCTCAGAGCCAAATACTGTTTACATAGTGATATAGAAAAAAGGAAATTTGTACATAAAGGAAGTCCTATCAGGATAGTATATGAGTACCCAATTAGTGCCAAATTCCTTTTGCTTTTTGTGAAGTAGAAGAGTTTTTGTTACATTCTTGTCACACAGGTTGTGTTTCTCCGGAAGAAATGACTGATAAGAAAAGGCAGATAAAAGAAGGAAGATAAAAACAGTATAATATCAAGTGTATTTTTCATTATTATGTGCATTATGACCCTATAAAAATTACAGTAGTTCTAGCTTCTAACAATATTGAAGCCCTTAGAATTGATTTTTTAGTGTTGAATTTAATCACATATGGATTCTGTGTTGGGAGAAATTTTGTATCACAATATAAGTGGAATTTTAATTTTGGAAGAAATAGAAAATTTGGTACAAAAATGTACTTTACTGTCTATACACAAGGAAACTGTATTTGAGGAAAATTACATAGTTATGCTGCTTTTAAAATTTAGAGCAATTCATCTTGAAAAAGATTTCTATAAGGATGTGGGAAGTTGCTGTTAACTGCTACCCTTATTTCCGTAGAGTAATCTGTTCTTAAGTCAAAATCGATTATTAGAAATAGTAAGGACAGGGCTGGACTGCAGCTCAGTGGAGGAGCACTTGCCTAGCCCATGTGAGGCACTGGGTTGGATTCTCAGCACCACATATAAATAAATAAATTAAATAAATATATTGTGTCCTACAACTTAAACAAAAATTAAATAAAATAAAAGAAGGACAGTGTTGTAGAGCAATTAGAGAAAACCTGGTATGAATTAAACTTTTTTTGTTAACTCTTTTAAGATAACTTGTTTTTTAAGTAAAGTGTATATAGCAACCAAAACTAAGCTACTCAACAGAAGTCATATTCTTTTAAAATGTATAAATACGAGTGACTGTAATTTGTTGTAATCATCAAATGAATGCAAAGAATTGTTTTAAAGTACTCCAATATTGCTTAAATTTTTATTTTTCTAGTTAGTGCGGTATTCTCTTACCACCTATTTTGATTTTAAATCCCTCCTTTCAATATTGCAAAGATAAACTTTAGACCAGGTTTTGTCAGTTACATATCTTGGCTCACTTAAATTCAACATAGATAGATATTAACTATTAAATATCCTATGTATATGTATTTTTCCCTTCTAAGTGTTTTTTTTGTGCTAGCTGTATTTTGTTTCTTTATAGAGGCTTAGACTCTTGCTGATTATTTTCTTTTTCTTTTTTCTTTTTTTTCTCCTGGTACCAGGGGTGCTTAACCACTGAGCCACATCCCCAGTCCTTTTTTTTTTTTTAATGTTTCATTGAGAGATGGGTTCTTGCTAAGTTTCTAAGGCTGCCTTTGAACTTACAATCCTCCTGCCTCAGCCTCCTAAGCCCAGCTTGCAAATTATTTATTGAAATGAATTTTTTTTTTTTTTTTTTTTTGGTACTAGGAGTATTTAAGTACTGAGCCATACCCTCAGCTTTTGAAGTTGCTTAGGGCCTTGCTAAGTTGCTGAGACTGGCTTTGAAGTTGTGATCCTCCTGCCTCAGCCTCCCAAACCACTGGCCACTGTGCCCAGCTGGAATGAATATTCTTTAAAGCTCATAAGATTATTCTTTTTGTCAATATAAATCCTTTGTGTTATCTGCCAGATTTAAAGACCACAGTACAACAATGGATAATGAACCAAACCCTGGAGCATCTTCTGTGTCGACAACAACCAGTAGCACAACAACCACCACCATCACCACTTCCTCTTCTCGAATGCAACAACCACAGATTTCTGTCTACAGCGGTTCAGACCGACATGCTGTACAGGTATTTCAGCTATAATGATGAGTAAAATTAGACTTGGAGTATCATATTGCTTTTTGTTTAAACCAGATTTTTTGTTTAAACCAGATTCAGATCCTCAAATATACAGTTATAATTGTTAAGATCTGGGCTGGGGATGTAACTCAGTGGTAGAGCACTTGCCTAGCAGGTACAGGGCCCTGGGTTCCATCCCTGGCACTGCTTAAAAAAAAAAAGAAAAATTGTTAATGTTTGAAACAACCAGCAGTTATTTAATAATTATACTGTTAAATAGTTTTTTAACATTTATGTGTCAGGAAAATTATAATTGGAAGTCTCTTGATGTTGCTCTAAAGAAAAGGTACTCAACATAGACCCCTAACATGCAGAATGACTCTAGGTTCAAATTTTGTATTTGAATCCAAAATATAGACTTGGGGAATTCTTTTCAAGTCTGTAGTTGCGTTAAGAGGTTTGTTTTAAACCCATGTGGCCTAAGAACCCTAGTAGGAAGATGCCTTCTATAGTTCCTGGGGCAAATGGGAAAGGAAATATTTAAGAAGAGTCTTGGGCTAGGTCACTTATTAACTTTTAATAATAATGGAGATAATGTGGTATTGTATACTACATGGGCATTGCATTCTGATATGCTGTTTGAATCCCATTTTTGTTATCATCAGTATCTATGTGGCTTTGGGTGGGAGGCACAATCTCCTTGAGCCTCAGGAGACTAAAATGAGGACAAGACTACCTTTTTTATTAGTTTCTTTGAGGATTAAATGAAGCCTCTAGAACTCTGTGGAATATATTATAGGTAATTAATAAATACTAGTACTAGTATCTATTGAACAGTTGCTATGTGCCAAGCATCTGATAAATACTTCATGTGGATTATCATGTTTAATTCTCACTACACCTCTATAAAGTAGACATATGGGAAAACCAGTATTTTAAGTAGGCTAAATAATTTCCCGAAATTCATACAGCTAGTAGGTTTTCTGATTTCAAAGTCTGCACCCTTTATACCCTGTGAGTTCTTGTGATTTTCTGTTATACCTTCTTGCTTCCTCTACCTCCTAATTGCATTTTTTTTTTTCAGTCAAGGAGGGGCCTTGGGAATGCTAGGCAAATACTGTATCACTGAGCTATATCCCCAGCCTCTCTAATTGTATTCTTAACTGTTTGTGGTATAGTCTTCTCTCTGCTCCATTTTTCTCTAGTGTAATAATTATTAAACTGTTCTGTGGTTTAGGATTTAGTTTTCTGAAGTCACTGTAGAGTGGAATCAGAACTGTTGGGGACTCAGCCAGCTCAGCAGAATTCAAACTGGAATGGAGAGTATGCATTTAATGTTCTTCACTTTTCTCTGAGGCAAGGGATATGGGGGAGAGTATCTAGATCTTTGAGATAATGGGATTTTTTTTTTTTTTTTGTGAGGGTGGGGTACTGAGGATTGAATTCAGGGGTACTTGACCCCTGAGCCACATCCCCAGCCCTATTTTGTATTTTATTTAGAGACATGGTCTCACTGAATTCCTTAGTGCTTCACTTTTTGCTGAGTCTGGCTTTGAACTTGTGATCCTCCTGCCTCAGACTCCTGAGCTGCTGGAATTACAGGCATATGCCATCATGTCCAGCTGGTGATAATGGGATATATATATATATATTTTTTTTTAATATTTATTTTTAATTGTAGTTGGACACATACCTTTATTTTATTTATATATTTTTATGTGGTACTGAGGATCGAACCCAGGGTCTCACATGTGCAAGGTGACTGCTCTACCTCTGAGCCACAACCCCAGCCCCATAATGGGATATTTTAATATGACATTTCATTTTCTAGTTTTCCCTTAAGATGGATGTATTAATAAAAATAAAGTATTATTGGAGATGTGTAGATGTAGATATACCTCACAAATATCTCTAACTCTAGTTGTTACAAAGATTATGGAATTGCTGTCCTAAAGAGCAATCAAATCAATATTTATTGAGCTATCTAAGTAGTTCTTTATTCTACCAGTTTTTTTTTCCTTAGTCCTGTGAATTCTCTTTAACTTGTTAATTCCTGTAGAGAAATAAAATAAGAACAATGTTCTGTACCTGTAACTTGTATTTATGCAATGCCAGGAGTATAGTGTTGAATAGTAATAAAAGATTACCAACTACAGAAAATTACTGCACTCTGATAAAATTATGTCAAATAGAGTGTTTATTTGTTTTTTCAGTTTGATTTTTAGAATTTTATTATAGAATTAAAGAAGATATATAGATTTGTCTGACAAGAAAAGATAAATTAATGTAATTCTGAATTACTTAATGCTGGTCTATAGTCCTCTATAACCAGGAATCAAAAGCTTACATTGATTTTTGTGACAGGAGTTTTTAGCAAGTATGCAATTTGCCATTGGAGAGATGACATATGCATGCCTGAAGTAAACAATAATTCATGGAAATGTTCTTTCTTGAAATTTGGGTTCATGATTTTATGGTTATAGGTGTCCAAAATTTAGATTGTGAAGCTATAGGATTATGGCTCTATTACTTCCTTAGCACTTTGGAAACTCTGGTTTGATACTAAGATTGGGGTTCTGTGCTGTTTTGGTTACTTGGGCATGATATGACCTTGGGATGTGGCTGCAGAGGATTGGACTTATCTTTTGAAGAGATGCAGGATTTTTCTCTGGTCTTAATAGAATACTCGACTTTACCACATTTATCTATTTGTGAAATTTCATGATTAGATTTTATATTATTAATATTCACAAACACTTTTTAGGAGTCTTTTTAATACTAATATTTAAAAAATTTTTTTTTTTTTAGTTGTAGTTGGATATAATACCATTATTTTATTTATTTATCTTTGTGTGGTGCTGAGGATTGAAATTGAACCCAGGTCCTCGCATGTGCTAGGTGTACGCTCTACCACTGAGCCAAAACCTCAGCCCCAATACGAATAATTGTATTCTATGTGGAAAATTAAGAACTCTGACATTTAAAAACATTAAAAAATAATTATTGAGTAATTTTCAGAAAAAGAAATAGTTTTGACAATTTTTGTAGGATTTTCAGACACTTAAAGAAAAGTTCAAACCAGAAGATAAAAATTACCTCTAACTAGCTATCCATCTACAGTACTCCTTTATGTTTTTCTAGACTCCTAACGTGCAGAATGACTTTAGGTTCAAATTTTGTATTTGAACCCAAAATATAGACTTAGAGAAATCTTTTATTAGAGTATTCCTACTCATCTATTGAGTATTCTACTCATCTACAATCTCCTTGAGCCTCAGGATAAAAAAAAAAATCAAATGCAATTATAAGAAAAATACAATTATGAGATAGAGGAAGCAAGCAGGTATAATAGAAAAACACAAGAACTCACAGGGTATAAAGGGTGTAGACTTTGAAGTCAGAGAAGCTACTAGCTGTATGAATTTTGGGAAATTATTTAGCCTACTTAAAACACTGGTTTTCCCATCTGTAAAATGGAGATAATAATTATGTCTACTTTCTCACTACATCTATAAAGAATTAAACAAGATAATCCACATGAAGCATTTATCAGATGCTTGGCACATAGCAGTTGTTAAATATATACTAGCTACTAGTGTATATTGAGTACCTATAATATATTCCACAGGGTTCTAGATGCTTCATTTAATCCTCAAAGAATACTCAGATTACTGAGTTATTTTGATATAAAAATGATTACTCAGTTAATTTGGTATAAAAATGACATCTTACTCTAACTTTCTTCACCTGCTAATATATTTGAGAATGTTCTTATTAATAAATACAAGTCTGTATCTGCACTGTGAAATATGGTAGCCATTAGCTATCTGTGTACCTATTTACATTAAAATCAAAGTTCAGTTAAAGTTAAAAACCCAATTCCTTAGTTGCATTAGTCATATTTTCATGTTCAGTAGACACAGATGGCTAGTAGCTACTCTACTAAACAGTGTAGAGCCATACTACTGTTTGCAATGGCTCCATAACAAAATATTCCTCTTCATACCTAAGCCCTGAATTCTTCCAACTTTTATCCAAAAAATTATACCAACTTAAATTCTCACTGACAGTGTGGGAAGATTTATTTTCTCAAGTAAAAGTGTTTTAAATCTTTATCCATCTGACAGTCGGAAAATAGTATCGTTTTAATTTGTAAATTTTTTTTTAAAGAATTTGTTAGCCTTTATTCCTCTTTTTTATTTTATAACTTTATTTTATTTATTCATATGTGGTGCTGAGGATCGAACTCAGGGCCTTGCACATGTGAGACGAGCACTCTACCGCTGAGCCATAACCCCTGCCCTAATTTGTAAATTTTTGATACTAGTGATATTAAAGATTTCTTCAAATACTTATATGGTCCTTTTTAAAAAAATATTTTTAAGTTGTTGATGGACCTTTATTTTGTTTGTTTACATGTGGTGCTGAGAATTTGAATCCAGTGCCTCACACATGCTAGACAAACACTCAACCACTGAGCTACAACCTCAGTCCTTGTATGGTTCTTTTATGGATTTATCGCTACTGGGTAATTTAATTTGTATAATTAGTGAATCCTAGCAATATGTAACTGGGAGAGAAATATGTTAATAAACTTGAGGACATTGAATCTTAAAGTAGTAAAATTTTAAACTGCCATTTTTATACTTCATTTTATAGTTAAGATAAAGGTTGGGCTGGGGCTGTGGTTCAGTGGCAGAGTGCTTGCCTAGTATACATGGGGTACTGGGTTTGATTCTCAGCACCACATAAGAATAAACAAATAAAATAAAGGTATTCTGTCCATCTACAACTACAAAATAATAATAATTAAAAAAAAAGATAAAGGTTGAACTGGAGATGTGGGTGAGTGATAGTGTATGTGCAAGGTCCTGGGTTTGATCCCCAGCAATGGAAAAAAAAAAAGATAAAGGTTGAGATTATAATTTGACATTGGTTCAATTGACTTATCACAGGTAATTCAACAGGCATTGCATCGCCCCCCCAGCTCAGCTGCTCAGTATCTTCAGCAAATGTATGCAGCTCAACAGCAGCACTTGATGCTGCACACTGCAGCTCTTCAGCAGCAGCATTTAAGCAGTTCCCAGCTCCAGAGCCTTGCTGCTGTTCAGGTGAGACTGAAATAAATTAACAATTTTTAAGGCCAAACTTTACATTTTCTTCAGATACTTACTGAAAATAAATACCCTGGGTATTATTTCAGAGTTCTCATAAGCCTTGTGATTATTTGTGCTAAAGGAGATGTTAATAGACTACCAAATAGAAGTTAATTGGAGGAAAAATGAATATGTTTTATAATTGTTGCTAGCTTTTGTCTCTGTTTTTTATCCAGAGTGGATGGTGGTATGGTTTTGTATTCACAAAGTTCTAGGTACAACAGTGGCTACTTAGGGCTTCATGAATTATATTTCTATTTTTTGAAAAAGTAAAGTTTTATTATGTAAATAATTTATATTAAAAATATCAATCAGTATAAAATTTTAAGAGGCAAATAAAATAGAAATGTTTCTTTTCCGTATGTGCCATTGTGTCCCACTTTCAGAGGTGACTGTTGTAACAATTTAATATATATCCAAAAATCTTCTATATAAAAATGCATATATACACTTTCCTAAAATCTAATCATATTATTTCAACTAATAACATAATTTTATGATTCAATACCTATGTTTAAATTTTTTTGTTAATATTGTACAACTTAAATAAAACTGTGTGAGATTTAATCTTAAATCTCCTCATCAGAGAAGGATCTCAGTTGAGTGAACCTGAAAAAAGTTTACTTCTGTTATTGATAGATACCAGATGTTACTTCTTTTCAGTAGTGTAATTTTAAGTAACATCATGTTCATAATATGACTTAGGAAACTGAAACCCACTGGCTCTTGATGTAGCTCAAATGTCTTTTTTGTAATGGTAGAGTGGTGATTCAGCTTCAGAAATGTCAAGAAACCTGAAGAGTGAAACTGACAATGAGTACAGCTAATCAGATTAGCTTTTGGGCCTGTTTTCACCATTCATATTTTTCTTTTCTTTAAAAAAAAAAATCTGTTTGGCCAAAGATTAAATTGAGCTTTTGTTCTTATTTTGTTTTTGTGTTATGCTGGTAGCAGAAAGGTTTTAACTTCAGGTTTTTGCAGGCATATTATAATGGTCTTATTGTTTTAGGCAAGTTTATCCAGTGGAAGACCATCTACGTCCCCCACAGGAAGTGTCACACAACAGTCAAGTATGTCCCAGACATCTGTAAGTACCCTACGTTTTTTTCTTGGATTCAAAATTTAAAAAAAAAATTTAATTACTGTTTTCCAAAACTATACTGTTGTAATTCATGAAGCTATTAGTGTAGATTTGTTACATACCTTAAGTAATAATAAGTGTTTAGGAATACGAGTGATGAAATTGGAGAATTCAGAATTATCGTTAAACTTCTGAAAATCTTAAGTTTTAATAACCATTTTGTGGGGTTGGGGTTGGGGTTGTATCTCAGCAGTAGAGCACTCACCCAGCACATCTGAGGCCCTGGGTTTGATCCTCAGCACCACATATAAATAAATAAAAAATAAAGGTACATCAACAACTAAAAAATATTTTAAAAAAATATTTGGGATATGTATTTCCTAAGAACAAGATTGTTCTTTTATGAAACCATAGGAAAATTATTAGATTACAGAAATCTAACTGATATAGTATAGTTTATGTTGGAATTACATCAGTTTTCTCAGGTTTGTCAGCCTTGAAACTAATGTCATTATGGACCATAGTTTTTTTTAGTGTGTGGCTGACTGTCATGTGCATTATGAGGCATCATCCCTCGAAGTGGATACCAACAGCAGACTATGGCTTTCTCCTTCCCCCCAGGTGACAACCAAAAATGTTTTATGGGGGACAAAACTGCCTTTGGTTGAAAACCATTGTGTTATTCTAAAAATGTCCTTTCTATACATTTTTCCTGGTCCAGTATAGTAGTATTTTCATATTCTGTAAAATTGACTTTAATAAAATATAGATTATAGGTTTTAAGAAACTTAAGAGGAGCTTGTGCTATATTCTTCAATTAAGGATATGGTCTTTGCTAAGTACATTCTGTGTTCAGCATGTAGGTGTTTTTCTAACTATTGATCTGCATTTTTAATTAAAAAATTCTATTTTTAGCACATAAATATCCTGGATTATGACAAAATTTGTTATGAATATTTTATCTTAACTCTCAGCCTGAATACTGTAGTTAATGATTATTAATATCAGATGTCTTGATTTAATACAGATGTATTAAGGAAAGGCATAGTAAATACTTTGTGTGTTAGTTGAAGAATTATAGACAAATTATTCTGTGAAATATGGAATAACATTAAGATATATATGTGTATGTTCATATGTATAGAGTTTTGCTGTCTTATAATTAACAGATATCCTTTTAAACTGTTTTATTATGATTTTCTGTATGTGACATTCACAGAAATTCAGATTCCAATGATTGTGCTTATTTTTTTAATATTTTTTAGTTATAGGTGGATGCAATATCTTTATTTTATTTTTGTGTGGTGCTGAGGATCGAACCCAGTGCCTCTTGTGTGGTAGGTGAGCACTCTACCTCTGAGCCACACCCTAGCCCGATTGTGCCTATTTTTTAAAAATAATTTTTTAGTTGTAGATGGACACAGTCCTTGTATTTTATTTATTTATTTTTATGTGGTACTTAGGATCGATCCTAGTGCTTCATACATGTGGGGCGAGCACTCTACCACTAAACCATAATCCCAGCCCTGATTGTGCTTATTTTTTATGACATGGTTAATGCTGCTTGTTATAACCAGGCAGTATTGTACCATGTAGTAGGCACTTGTGAATGACTGGTTGGGGAAAAGAAGCATGAAGGGAGAATAGATGTCTAGTGTGAAATAAAGAACAATATATCATATATCACATTTGTTTTATTTATAAATCCCAGGTAGCTAGTCCTCAAATGAATTGACTAGCAGTATATATTATAATGGCCAAAGTAACTTAGTAAATTGAGGTTACTATCCAGAAGAGAGGCAGAATGTGGTAATAGAAGTATCTAGGTAATGATAATAATGAGCCATTAGGTGGCAGTCTAATATTCATAGTTTTGGTTATTTTGAGGTAAGTTTTCAGGTAAAGTGAAGCTGTGGGAATGGTTTAGCTTCCAAAAAGGATTACAGGGTAGGCTGTTGAATAATTAGCTAGATTGGTTGGGATATAGAGTCAGAATGGGATCTCAGTGAGGAAATGAATATTATATAAAAATCAAACCAGATACCTAGACATATAACCTGGGGAAACTGTGTAGTTTGGGAAATAAACTTGATAATTGAATGTATAGGTAACTAGCAGGTGCCAGCTTTATCTTCTTTCTCCTTATGGGATCAGGATAGCTAATTCTAGACTAATACTAGTAGTGATGGTGGTGATTTTATGGTTGTTTGACTCTAAAATTAATTGGGACTGAACCTTTATGTTGGTATCTTCAGCACTTCAATTGAAAGAGGGTAAGGTTTAGTTAAATTTGGCTTGCCAAAATGAAATCTGAACCAATTAAAAACTTTGCTGCTGCCAAAAAAACAACAGAAACAAGGTTAAAAGTAACACAGTAGAAGAGAATATATTTGCACCATGTATGTCAAATGGCTTTTATTTCTAAAATCCAAAATGTTCTTTTTTAAAAATATTTTTTAGTTGTAGATGGACATAATACCTTTATTTAAATTTTATTTTTAGTTGTAAGACACAATACCTTTATTTTATTTATTTATGTGGTGCCGAGGATCAAACCCAGTGCCCCATGCATGCAAGGCAAGCATACTACCACTGAACCACATTCCCTGCCCCCAAATGCTTTTATATTAGTAATATAAACAATGAACATTTACAAAAGACTCTAATTGGGAATTTAAAAAAAATTTTTTTTAGTTGTAGATGGTCACAATACCTTTATTTTGTTTATTGTTATGTGGTGCAATGATCAAACCCAGTGCCTCACCCGTGCTCAGCAAGCACTCTACCACTGAGCTACAACCTTGGCCCATAACTGGGAATTTTTAAAAGAAAGACTGGGTTGGGAGTACATCTCAGTGGTAGATCACTTGCCTAACATGCCTGAAGCCCTGGTTTCAGTCCCCAACACCAGGGGTGGGGGAAGGACTACTTTTGACTTTAAACATATAAAAATATATTTATTGTATTAATAATAAATATATGTAAAAACAACCATGATGTCCCATTTTTACCTGTCAAATTCAAAAGCAAGGCAAAGCATTTAAATAATACTCATTGCTGGCAAGGATGTAAAGTATTTGGCACACACATATACTATTAATGGGAATGTAAATTGGTACAACTTTTCTGGAGAGTTATTTGGCAGTATGTATAAAAATTTAAAATGTGCATGCCCTTTCATATGGAACTCTTTTTTTTAAAAAAAATTATTTTAGTTATAGATGGACACAGTACTATGGGAGCCCAACCTTTTACGTGACTGAGTCACACTCCCTGGCTGAATGCTGAGGCACTCAGTCACAGAAATGTTGCAGAGCTTTCCCCACCCTTCTTGGGTTTGAGGGATGGTGTCTCGTGCATGGGTGTGTCTTGCTACAGCCCCATGGGTGGAGCTATGCTCACCTGTTCCTTTGTAATATAACCCCTTGCCCTGTTTAGGATAGAATCTTCCATGGAAGTGCCTTGTGTGTGTCCCCTTCTCTTACTGTGCCTTTGGGTGTGGCCTACCCATATGTCAGTCAACCTGGTGACAGTGGACATCATGAAGATAGACTCAGCCCCCTGAAACCTGACCCCTTGCCTCATTTGAATAGCTTCTCCCCAATAAAAAGGGTCAGCATGTGTGTGCTCTCTCTCTCTCTCTTCCTGCGGACCTTTAAGGTCAGAGGAGCCATCACAGCGACCCCAAAGAAAAAGGTATTTGTGTCTCTTGTGTGGTTATTTTGCGCAGCCCAATTAGTCCAGTTTCTCTGGAGTGGCCCCTGAGCCTTTTAGTCGCGAGAACAGAAACCCTGCACAGTACCTTTATTTTATTATTTATTTTTATGGGATGCTAAGGATCAAATCCAAAGCTTCACACATGCTACAACCCCAGCCCCTCATATGACTGTTACTTTTTACTGATATCATTAAAAATGACAGGACTGTGGATGTAGCTCAGTGCTAGACCATTTGCCTAGTATATGCAAGGCTATGGGTTTGACCCCAGTGCTGCAAAAAACACAAAAAACAAAACCAACCCCTCCCCTACATAATTATGTGTATATGCATGGTTTACAGTAGTAAAGCATTGTATACAATCGAAGTGTCCATTAATTGTAGGACAGTTAGTGTTAATTCATACAATGGAGTACTGTAGCTACTAAAAAATGCTATACATGTGCATACAGATAGACTTTGATTTTTATTATGTATTGAGTATAAAGAGCAAGAATGCATAGTATGATCTCTTTCATTTTGATTATTCTATTTTTCAGTTCTAAAATTTCCATTTGTTTCTTCTGTATATCTTTTATTTCTTTGTTGTGACTATTTTTAATCTGTTGACACCAGAGGGGATGCTTCCCATAATTGCTGAACTGTGGTGGAAATTCTGGCTCTTCACTGGGCCTCTATGGAAGCTTCCCTGACTGGGAGGAACAGGAGTGCCTTGTTACTGCTTCCTATGTAGTCTTTCCACCCCTATTCTGCACAGTACATTGTGATGGTGGTGGTAGTTTATTACTACTTGGTTGGGATGAAAGTCCTGGCTCTCTACTTGGCCTTTTCTGACACTAATTAATTATAGAGGGTTGATTGAGGGGATGGGATGCCTTTGCAGGTGAAAGTATAGTTTTTTGTTGTTGTGGGTGGAGCCACAGTTTTTTCTTTAGTGTTTGCCCATAGTAAAGTAATTATTGTCTTAAGTTTTTTGTGTTGCTGGGCTTTCTCTTTCCTGATCCTTTGGCTAAAAAGAGCAGGCTTTTGTTAGGCTGTTTTGTTTGTGCCCATTGGTGTCTGGGTTACTGAATTCTTTAGTTCCAAGTTTGGGTTATATGAGACAAAAAAAAAAAAAAGACCCAGGGAACTCACCACCATGATGTACATGGAGTCTTCAGTCTCCGGCCAATCTGCTTTTCTTCATCTTTTGGTATCTTTATGTTTATTTTATATGTCACAAGGGTTTTTAGTTGTACTTAGTGGGAGGAATAAGGAAAAGTACATCTCCATCTTTCTGAAAGTAGACT